TGGAGGGTAAGGTTTGGACATGGCATCCCCAACAGCCAGCAAGAGCTTGGATGGTAAGGATATCGGAAGACAGCCCCAATCATCTTAGTTTTGGCCATGTTTACCCTAAACTCCGTGGCAAACTGGAAACACTTACATGAATAGAAGCAATGTGTCCACTTGATGGTGCGTGACACCACTGAAAAGGAGCAGGTCATCTGCATATTGTAGGTGGGAGATGGTCGGGCTTGCGGACCAAATTTTGAAGCCTCTATAAGTTCATTCTTGTACGATTGAGCTATGGACCTGCTGAAGACCTCTCCTACTATGGCAAAAAAGAAGGGGGGAAGTGCGTCTCCCATGCATCGATAATCTCAAAAAGAGGATCTCTGTTCAACACATTCAAGCATTGGAAAGCTAAGGTCGAAAACAAATTGGGAAGAAGTGCATCAAGCCTGACAATGGTGGAGAGTACACTTTTAACGGAGCTTGTGAGTTTTTGCAAGCAATGTTTAAAATGTGGGATGCAGTGCCGATGCAATCGGGGGGGAGGCGATGCGGCAATATACGGTTCAGATTCAGGTGAATTACCTCGATGCAGTCAATAAATATAAAATTTTTCAAAAAATAGGTTAATGCCTGAAAAAAATATGGAGGTGTTTTATGTGATAATAGGCAGTTAATATATTCATTAACTCCAAAAATATTGGCTGTTGGAGATTTTGTACCCACTATCCCCTGATAGATCATAGAAGAAATGAGAAAGTAGAAACTAAAAACTAACTTCATAGAAAACAACAGAACTTAGAAGACATCATATTATCATAAGTCATAAACATTCAAAACCATATCACCAATTCGCAACTGCAAATTTTAAAGTTACAAACTAAAGGTCTATGAAGATTAAAGAGTTCAAAAGTCAACACAAATCATCCTTGTTTCTAAGTCTTAAGTCAGAATCTCACAACTTTATTAGATAAGTTATCTAGAGAGTTTCCATGTGCATCATCATCAATATCATCCTTGGCGGCCTCCACATATTCTTCTTCTTCCTCGATCTCCTTGAAGTCATCCTCCTCCTTGACCTTTGGAACTTGCATGTGACTGGACCAAGCTTTTATGATGCGCCTCCTAGTACATAACACATGATGCCGCCACATTTTAAAACAATGTTTTCAAGAATGAAAGTCACTACACCACTCTGAAGACATTGCAACATAAAGGCGTTGTTGAGAACATGAAGAAGACACCTCTAGAGAAGGTCTGCAAAATGTTGAGTAACGCTGGTTTGTCAAAAGACTTTTGAGCAGAGGCACTACAGTGTGCTACCTTGTCAATATGTCACTATCTTGGTGATAGGATTCTAAATTCCATAAGAGGTACGGAATGGTAAGCCTGCTAATTATGTTCATCTGAAGGATGAAAAGTTGAGTCTACGACTGAAGTAAGTGTATTTTCCTTGGTTATGCAGATGGAGTTAAAGGCTATAAATTGTCTTGCCCATGCCCTAAATCACCTATGTTTATTATCAGTTGTGACGTTAAGTTTGATGAGTCTATCATATATAAACACATTCAGAAGGGTGCTGAATAGGGCAATCGTAATAAGTGAGATCCTAGTGAGATGGAGTATAAAACTCTAAAAATTACTTCAAAATATGCCAAAAAATCCTCATGGATGAGTAGAGAAGAATGTTGACTCTGAGGAGTTAGTTGAGTATACTCCACATAATGACGAGCCTCAGCTTGGAAGGGAAAGAGCACCAAGAATCCAATGGTGTGGTATTGTTTTAAGGACATGATGGTTTATACATTGGCTGCCACAAGTCAAGAGACATCCACGTTTGAGGAACCTTAAAATGATATTAACAGTAACAGGTGGAGTGATTCCATAAATGAGGATATGGTGTCTCTTGAAAAAAATCGAACTTGAGATCTCGTGAAGTTGCCTAAAGGTAAGAAAGTCATTGGATGTAAATGAGTTGATTAAAAAGAACGATGGGTCACCTGAGCCTGGTCGTGATCGATTCAAGGAATGGTTGGTTGCAAAATGTTGTATGCATAAAGGAGGCATTAACTATAATGAGATCTTCTCTCCAGGTGATAGGCACACCTTTATTCAGGTATTACTAGTCAATTTTGCATTCTTAATTTGGAGTTCGACCAACTTGAAGTTGATACTATGTATCTACATAGAGAGTTGGAGGAACAAATTTAAACTCAATCTGAAGGGTTGTTGTCAAAGGTAAAGAGGATCATATCATCCAGCTAAAGAAGTCATTCATGGTTTAAAGTGGTTCCCTAAGCAACGGTCAGATGGAGAACATTGAGAAGGTCCTTACCAGATTCGGGATGGACAATTCAAAGCCCATGGGCACTCTTCTTTTTGTACATTTCAGATTTTTGGCAACATTACCTCCGAGTATAGATCCCGAAAAAGAATACAGGTCTCATGTTCTCTATGCGAGTGTATTTGGAAGCCTCATGTATGGGATTGTTTGGATTCGTCTATACATTTCTCATGTAGTATTGTTAGTATATGGCTAATCCAAGAAAGGAACATTCACATGCAGTGAAATGGATATTGCGTTACTTGAAGGGTACATTAGATGTGAGTATTGTGTTTGACAACATCAACAATTCGGTGACAAGGTTATTAGTTATGCTGATACTGAATTTGCCAGTGATTTGAACAATAGAAGATCTACCTAGAACTTCGATTAGTTGGAGGTCAATGCTACAACCCACGGTTACCTTGTCCACAATTGAAGCATGATACAAGGTTGTTATTGAAGTGTTGAAAGAAGTTATTTGGCCTAGAGGGCTTGTAAGTGATATGAGCATGCAACAAGATGGAACTATCATCTATTGTAATAGTCAAAGTGCAATGCATTTTGCAAAGAACCAAGTCTATCATGCAAGGGCATGCATATTAATGGCAAGTATCATTTTATCCTTAAGAGAATAGCAAAGAATGATCTATCGTTGTTGGAGATTAACACCAAGAAGAATGTTGAAAATTCACTGACAAAATCAGTTCTACAAAAGTTCAAGTTGTGCTTGGACTTGATTTAGTCGAAGGGACTCTTTTGGTGACTAGATGGAATTCAAGCCAAGTTGGAGATATTTGTTGGACGTTGCCCTAAATCCCAAGAAGTTACACTAGGTCGGATTAGGGTTTTGTATTATTTGGAATTGGTTTAGGTTTCCTATTTTTGTAGGGAGTGAATCCTAGGTTTCACGAAATACTTTCCTATTTCAAATGGCATGGTAATCCTAACCTTTAAGGAAGTAATATCTACTCATATTTGAGTTATTGAAATGCAGGAAGGTGGTGGGTTGTGTTTATCCTTGCATAGAGAGACTATGAGAGCCTCATATGCTAGCTTATGGGGATTTCATTTTCTCTTTATAAATACTTGTTCTGTAGAGAGAGACAGAATGCAAAGACTCCATAGGTAGTGCATGCAAGAGGTACATAAACTTTATTTCATGACAGAGAAAGTGTAGAGAGAGGCATTGTGAGAGTTGAGTTTTCTGTTGTTTGGTTCTCTCGGGTAAGAGCTTTTGAACTCTTTTCTTTATGTTGCTTACTAAAAACAAAGTCGATCTTCTTCACCCATAGATGTAGTCACACATCTGTGACGAACCATGTAAAATCTTGCTATTATTCCTTGCATTATTTCCTTCTTGTTTGCTTTTCTTTCCTGTTGCTTGCTATGGCTGTTTTATTTTTCTCGCTCTTTACTTACAATCCATGGATGCCTTAACAATTTCAGCTCCCATCTTCCAAGATTTTGGGTCATCATAAAGAAAGACCCTATCAAGGCTTTTAAATAAATTTTAATACCAGAATAAGATCAATGAAGTGAGAATGGTACATTTTTTAACCCATTCCAAAGAGAGAGAAGCATGGATATGAATGCTTCAGGTTCGCAACTTTGGTTACAAGGTAGCAATAACATTGCAGAAGTTCTAGCAACAAAAGATCATGAGTGCGAATTTGTAGTTTTACTGCAACCATGACTAAGAGAGATGGGTACATGGATATAGAAGATCGAGGCTCATAATTTTAGTTACCGGTCTGAATAACATTGCAACGCAACAGTTCTATCAACATGGCAGAAGGCGGCTGTGCAATTGTCCAACTCAGGGGTTTTTAGAGAGGTGAAAAAGCTTGAGCCACACACAAGCTAATCGAATTAATTAAGGGACAAACCCAGTAAGCACTAAGTTGTCCGTAATGTTGATTTAAAGAAGGTCAACAACAATTTAGACACATTTATGGTCGAGATTTTTTAGTAAAGCAAAACTCATTTCAAGTTGAAAACACCCACCCAAGTCGAATCAAATCATCAAGTGGGCAAGTTCTACAACCACAAAAGTCATGATGATTCCGAGTTTTTGGTTATATAAGTGTTTTTTTGCAAATATAATGTCTCTTCCAATATGGCAGCATTGTGCAAAGAAGTAGGTGCCATTTCTAATTTTGGGACAAGTTCTTTTTAAGCACTAATAGGCCCTAAAACCTAGCTGCTTCCTTCTTGACATTTGATGGAACTTATAATTATCAAAGTGTCTTTTTTTTGGAAATGAAATCAAAGCATTAAAGTTCTACCAAAAAATTAATATACATCTCTTGTCCTTATTTCTGGCTTGTGTTTTCCATGTTCCATTTTATGCACAAATGCTTTAAGGTAGGAACTGGCATTATGTGAGATATGGAGAGAGTACTGTCAGAAATAGAGTAGGATGGAAGAAAAGCGGTAATAAGTGATTGCAACTTGAAGCCTTAAGCACTGATTGTTATTTGGAAATGCATGTGCCAGCATGTGCATGAGCATCAAATGCTCAAAGCTGTTCTGGTACATGTGCTAATTTTTAATCACCCAACAAATTTAAATCCAAGCTTGCCTAATTAAGATCAAATGAACATAGAACATTTATTGAAAAGACAGATGCAACAAAAAAATCAAAAGGTTTATCATGATTCCGGAACATTTGAAAATTTAGAAGACTTACTGTTTAGCTCGTTTTGGATCCGCTTCAGATGCAGGTCTCAGGTGTGAATCAGCCCTCCTCTCAAAAGACTCATTCTGAGTTTTTTCAGATGCAACTGAATTGACATAAGAGCTTTCTTTGCTTTCAGTAAACCTTGAATCACATTCACCAGATTCACGCTCTCCTTGTGTTTCTGCCATAGTAACTCTTGCACTTTCAAATGGTTTCCCAAGGCTTTCTAACTTCTTGTTATCCCTACAGGATGACATTCTGCATGAATTCATTAATGGCTCCCATCCCCTTAAGTACGGTGCTTTCAAAGAATTTCTCTCAGAACAGAAGGAAGAAAGAGTTTCATCCTTAAAATTGTCATAATCTAGAAAGCCCTGAAAGGGAAAAGATTGAATGTTGCTTGAGTTAAGATCTTCTTGGGAAGCAGTCACTCCTTTTGAAAAAGTTCCAGGGTAGTCCATATATGCAATGGAGTCACTTGATGAACGCCTGTGTGCTCCTTTCCCAATAGGAGTCTCAGGTTCATTAAGAAGGTCATCAAGCCATGAAGGCTGCTCTTCGATGAGGAAGCTCTCAGAAGAAGTACGTTGGTGTTGCCTACACTCCTTCCTTGAGATTGGTACGCATGGTTTCCCAGTTAAAGGACTGGATCCACAATTCGAATACGCTGGGGCCATGCTGGGGAATGGGATTCTTGGAGGAAGATTCAATTGTTTTCCAGAATGTGACCAGTTCCCCATTTGAGCTACACCACTGTCGTTGGACACTGCTTGGTTCAATATGTAAGGAAACAAAATTAGCTAAGCACATGAAAAATTAGATAGTCATCGACACAGACTGAGTTTGCTAATTTAGGATAAGTCAGAGGCAACATAAATTTCAGGAAACAAGTGAAAGAGGAAATATCACACAAAGATCAAGGAAATCCAATGTACAACTGATATCTATCTAAGAAACTAGACACCAAACAAGAGTGATTCTATTTGAATGACTTATTCTAGATTATAATATGCAGGTTCAACTTAAAAATTGCAAAAACTCAAAACAACTCAGGATTCATCTCATAGCAAAAACAAGTAGTATAAGAAAAACAGCCGCCTAACAAAAACAACTCAGGATTCATCTCATAACAAAAACAAGTAATATAAGAAAAACAGCCTCCTACTAATATCATTAACCCACAACAAATCCCCATTCCTCAATATATCAATAAATGCCAAAGGAATTCAAAAGCAAATCCATGGTGAAGATGTATAACTCATTCCACAAAGTGGCAGTGCTAGAAAATCTGATAGCATCTGGTGATAGACTTGGTAATATGATAGCAAGGTTGCAGCAAGAAAAAAACAAATCAGGCCTTACTAGACACCCCATGTGCCAAATGCAGATCAGAAGCCTCTGCCACCACTAAGCGGAATTTTCCAAACTTATGCAAATAATATTAAGCCAGTCGTGAGAAAGGGTAAAAGCAATACTTATTATAGGCAAGTAAATGGTCTCTGTAGTCCTGGAACCTGTGAAATAATCAACACAAATCGAATTGACAACAGAAATGCAAACCTTAAGATGAATTTCAAAGCTGATACACAAGCAATGAGATAGCAAAAATTGTTCAGGAAGGGATTTCTCCATGGAAAGGTAACTCGAGATGCTTTCAGGAGTGCAAGGATATAAAACCCCATCATCCCATCTATCATTTAAAGACAAAAAAAGATTCCATATCGCATATACTTGAGTCAATTTCTTTATTTAGGAAATAAGTGAACAATCGAAATTAAGTTCTCTTAAGGCAAATAAATTACTTGGTTCTTCCTGGTTAAAGAATCTCTTTCTGGTTTCTCTGGAAGAAATACATTCTAAGAGTAAGATTTGAATATCTCTCATCGTTGTCATCAATCTCATAAGCATCATACTCCAATCACTTTTTTGATAAATACAGGACATCTAAGTCATACGAGTAAAGAGATCTATTCATTGATAAGAAAAAGAAAAAATGTGAACAGCAATTGGCTTGATGCGAAAATAGAATCCTGGATTATATGTTCAACTAACAAACCTTATTGGGCCACCAACATGGCCTTTCTTTGTTTATGCCTATGCAAACTTTGACCAACATTAATTCTCCATTTACCAGCAAAGACATGAAAGGTCTGAGATACCATGCTGATCCCTACTGTCAGAGACAAAAATGTCATGTAAAATTCTTTTGAACCAGGAGGTAGAAGAAAGTGTATCAATAAAAAAAATTTGCTGCCAGTTCAAAGCAGGATGACAATCTTAACTAAACTAACGAAACCACAGGACAAGCAATGAATCATAGAAACAAATCCAGCAAATCCCAGCTGGCCAGAGCATTTCCTTTGCCACAAGGAGATTCAAGCTAACCACCGATGAAGCATCTATAATTGCATGACATCCTAAACCTCTAAACATAAATAAACAATTAGATAAAAGTATGTTTAATATATCTTGAGGAAATTCAAGCCCATCTATCAGATATAGAGATACAATCACCAATACGTTTGTCTTTTTTTCTTTTTTTTTCTCGTCTCCAAATGTTAACTCTAGACCTGGTGAGAATGGAACTTTAGACATCACTTGCGATACCTGCCACTCCAACAACCTTTGCTTAGAGTGCAAACTAAAGTGCCAATGAATATTTTACCTTTCTCAAAAGGAAAAATGGCATAAATTAAAATGCCACCTATAATGTAGCTAAACATTCTATCAAAAACCTGAACATACCCCATCATAGTGATGCATGGTCATGCTCAACTGCCTAGAATGGATCAATTTTTATCGATAGATATGGTCAAAATATGCAGTATTTTCTTTCTTCCTGCATGAGGAGACTATATAACTTTGTCAATTACCTTTTTAATGTGAAATGACAATAAGCATTCGATGTGCTAAATATGTGCATGAAAGTGGGCTAGAAATAATATGAATGCTGACAAGGTATCACACGGTTTTGGGATTGGTGACGCACATCCAGATTAGGCTCTTGCTCTGGACTCTTATCTTAGGCTTGACATCATAACAAAATTTTGTTTCTTACTCTTCTATGTCAGAAGGCCAACAATCATTCACACTATGTTAGGAATCTAGATCTCACATTTTAGAAATCTCGATTGCACATTATTTGAATCTCAATTTGATTTTTTGGAATCCAAATTCTATAGCATCATATACCACATTTCGTAAGTACAAGAAACCGCAATTCGATCAACATCAAATCTTTCTTCCACTTTCATGGAATCTCTATCCAACTTTTTGGGAATCCAGATTGCACATAATCAAATACTGGCTCATAGGTACATGAAACTGTGATTTGATGAACATGGAATCTCGCTTCAAATATGAAAGTTGATCTAACTTATTTGGTGTCCAGATTGGAGAACATTGAATCCCATGGTTCATAGGTGCACCAAATAATAATCCAATCCATAGTTGTTGGAAACGCCTAGGAACCCGAATCGTTTTAGGAACCGAAATCGCAGAATTGCAGTCGACTAAAAGATTCCTATCTTAGGAATCGTTGTCCGTACAATAGGGATCGCTAGGAACGAGATTCCTAGTTTTTGAGAATCGTATTTTAACCGAAATAGATCTAAGTTTCATCCACAAATGGAATCGAGATTCTGTCCTACTTTGAATCGAGATTCCCATTCACCTGAAACTATGATCCAATCAACGGGTGGTCAAAGTTTTGATACCATGGAATAAATATTCAAATGCGAATGTCTCGAGTTAATAAGTTCCTAACAAAGTATTCAGTCGTCTAGGGCCGCCATCTTGCACTGGGCTGATAGTCCTAGTGTCGAGTTGAACACCTTGATCTCAAGGTCAAAGTCGGCAGAAAAGGTCGAAGTCGGCAGCAAATGACCATAAAAAACCCATAGTGATCTTTCTTCTTTTTTTTTACTCAATTCATTATGTGAGCATGTATGTTTTGTAAACACCATCACGATTTCCCTAGTGGACTATGAGTGCCTACCAACTGTACCTAACCCAAAATAAATATCTTGCTTCTTAAATTTCATTATTAACAAATAAAGTATTCCTTCTTCCTTTATTCAAACCAGAACCTTAAAAAACCTCAAATCCAGTATTGCGGCCCCTCGACCTTGATTCCAATACCATGGTACAAGGCTCAATACATTGATTTCAATACCAAGGGAACCCTTGTTCAAGTCTTTAGGGCCTTTGAGGATCTTGATTCCAATAATAGGGAAAGCATGGCGAAGCTTACTCAATCTGATGATTCTAATACTAAAGAAATCTTGCATAAGTTTACTCTAGAAACTCGAACCTTTTTCCCTATGAAACACATTTCATGTTGATTTTTATTGCAGTTTTAAGTTGAGTGTTCGATCTCACAGATGTAGGAATCTCGATTCCAATTGGGTTGAAACTCGATCTCATAAAGGTAGGAATCTTGATTCCAAGTGGGTTGAAACTCGATTCCAAAATGCTATAGATCTCGATTCCAGTAGGTTTGAAACTCGATTCCAAAATGCTATGAATCTCGATTCCAGTTGGGTTGAAACTCGATTCCAAAATGCTATGAATCTCAATTCCAGTTGGGTTGAAATGTGACTCCAAATGGTATGAATCCCAATTCCAATTGGGTTGGTTCTCTATTCAAAAGAGGTAGGAATCTTGATTGCCATAAAGTAGGAATCTCGTTTCCCGTAATTCACCTGTACGGACAGCGATTCCAACAATCAAAATCTTAAAACAACCAGTGAATCCACGATTCTGATTCCTATATTGATTCGAAATCTCAAGCATTTCCAACAATTATGGTTTGAATAGGGCAGTATACATACAAAGTTATTAGAAATACCGATTATATATTCAGTAGCTCCTGAATCAATAATCCATGGAATTTGTGGAGTAATGGAAACATGGTGTGCGAATGGAGATATAATTGATAAGCAAGATGGGACTTGGAGGAAGAAGAGGGCTCCATATCATGGGTGGAGGCATGCTGCTTGAGATCAAGAAGCTCTCACTTAGAAATAGTCACAAAACCATCCTCAAGTAAAGAAGGAATGAAGTCATGAGGTGTATGACTAGTATCATCTTGTTGTAGAGGCATGGCAGTCACCTTATTAGTCACTCAAGCATAAGCTCTAGATGTATTCCGTTTAGGATGTCCAATGAAATCCCTACATGTCCCCTTAGTGTGCAGAGATTTCCCACAATGAGTACATTTTAACTTATTTTTCTCATCACACCTGTAAAACCCCTGTGGCCACCACTATGTCCTCCACCTCGACCACCACCACGATTATTGAATGAGTTGGAACTTAAAGCTGATCGTTTGGGATTAAGGCCCCTTAAAAGATCAAATATCTTATTTTGTTTCCACCATTTCTCCATACTCTTTTGCACCATGGAAGTAGTTTATGGGCTGGTAGTGAGTCAGCTCATCCTAGAGACCCTGTAACATGGCATAGTAATCAGCCACTGATAAATTGCTTTGTTTAAAATTGCTAATTTGTTATTCCAACTCATATTTTTGCCATATTCTTCTTTTGTGAATTGCCTCAGCTAGTGCAAATCTCATAACTCCTTCGAAGTCTGACAATACATCAATATGCAACTCAAATTTGGTTACATAGAGTTTAATATCTAGTTCATAACATTCATCTCATCACGTTCCCAATAAGCATAAGTAGGCTCCTTTACATCTAGTTTCACCATATGACCATCAATACAACCAACTTATTCCCGTCTCCATGAAATAACCTAGCAGATCTGGCCCATTCCAAATAGTTTTTGCCATCAAATTTCACTGTAGTGATTTGGTGTCCAGAATACTCCAAACTTGATGCACAAGAAAAAGCAAATCACAGTGTTGCTGAAATCTGGATACAATCATAGATATCTTTCAACTCCCTCATAAGAAAACAAAAAAAACTTAATCAATGGGTCACGAAACCCTAATATTCTCCTTTTAATCAATGGGTCATGAAAACTCTTAAGTTTTCTTTCTCTTACTAGGTCAAAGAAACCCTAAGTTTTCCTTTTCTTTTACCTTTTCCGTAGTTGTCTAAAAACATTTATATCCTTCATAGGAAAAATCACGTCCAAGAGCGTACCCTAGAAAATCACTTCTTTCACAAAGAAAATATTATGTAACCTTCAATCCGCAAAAAATAACCTTTTTTAGGGAACTTTCTTTCATTGACTGGCCATACTGTTGAAGCAGCAGATATATGACCAGTATTTCACCACCCGACTCTCACTTCTTTAAATATAAGTTGAAAGATATATGCAGATCTCCTATTAAACAGTCACCACCAAAAGTGGAGAACAATTGACAGATGGTATAAATCAAAGGAAAGTGAGAGATGCGTTAGAGAGGAGAGAGAGAAATAGGTTCCATGCGAATGAAAGAGGAAATGAGAATGACGTGACCCTGGTTAGTCATATATTTCGTATAATTAAAAGAGAAAAATTACAGCATTGCCCTTGTAATAATTTTTAACTATATTTAAACTTGTAGACTCACTTTCAACCGTTTTTAGGTTCCTAGGGACTTGTTTGTCCTTTCTTATACTTAGGGGCAGTTTTGTACACTTTTATAATTTAGAAGAGGGATGAAAGGGGAGTGAGAGCTGGTAACTCTCGAAGGCTCTCCTCTCCTTTCTCTTCTCCACGTGACTCTTTTGTCTCTTCTTGTCACCTTCTCTCCTTTCCATCTCTTCTTTCTCCTCTTCCTCTCCCTCTAAACATTCATCTTCTTTATTCTTTTTCCAATTTTTCTTTTTTCTTTGTTGCTGTATTTTTAATTCATATCATTTACATTAATTCATTAATTCATAAATTTACTTTGTAGTCATCAAAATGTCATCCCCAAACAAAATGATTCTTTTGGTTGGGCCTTCACTATCGATTACCCACTATTTCTCTCCTACAACAGCATGGGATAGTAATGGTTCTTCCTGTACATCTTTTTTGTAAAAACAATGATGATAGTACCTGTCATCTACTGTTCCTTTGCGATTTCTCGCAGGCTATATGGAGATCTCTTGCATGGCCATGTGGTAAGCGTTTTATTTTTGGCTCTTCTATTCCTATTATGTTGAGAAGTTGGTTATCTTTCATATTCAAATACAATAGATTCTTCAATATTTTGACTTCTTTTTTCTTCACAACTAT